AGAAATGGAAGAGAGATTCAAAAGTTCCACAAATTTGTTGCTCTACATACAAAAAAGAATGAAAAGAATGACTAGAATTTTTCAGAATTGGAATAAGACCTGAACCCTCTGATTGAAAGCACACTCTGTGTACTGAGCAGAATAAATAAAGATAAATACATACCCAGCCTCATCACAGTCAAACTGCACAGCCTCAGGGGTAAAGATACAAGGCTTCCAAACTGCCAGGAAGAAAAGACAGATTACCGACAGAGGAATAGCACTGACTGACAGCAGACTTGTCATCATTACTAATAGGTACCAGGAAAATGTTTTCAAAGTGCTGAGGTAAAACAGCGACAAACCCACAATCGCGCACTGCCAAACTACTTAAGTGTGAGGGCTTTTAGACATGGGGATACTTAGAACGTCAGCCTCCCACAGATTTTCATTGAGGGGAAAAAAAAGCCGTTGAAGAATATTCATCAGAGAGCAAAAGTGGAAAGCAAGTACTACAGTTTGGATCAGGAGTGTCTCCCAAGGCCCATGTGTTAAAGGCTTGGTCACCAACCTGTGGCACAACTGGGAAGTGATAGATCTTTAGGAAGAGGGACCTAGTGGGAGCAAGTTAGGTCACTGGGGGGTGTGCTCTAGAAAGGGATTTTGGGAACCCAGCCCCTTCCTGTTTCTTGCTTCCTGGCTACCATGAGGTGAACAGCCTCCTCCCCTTTGTGCTCCTGCCATGAGGTTCTGCCTCACCACAGGCCCAAAGGCAGACCAAGTGATCATGGGCTGAAACTCTGAAACAGTGAGCCAAAAAGAAAAACATTCCTCCTTTTAAGTTGACTATATAGTGTAACAAATCTGCTAAATCTCCCCTTCAAGAGGAGTCTGCACACACCACCCAGATTATATCAGGGTTTTTTTGTTTTTTTTTTAATTTTTGTTTGTTTGTTTGTTTGTTTCCCAGTAACAACAAGCTAACACAGGAGGAAAGAGTGTTGGGGCTGGAAAAGACTTAAGAATTTACCCCTCTTGTAGCCAGCCACGTTCTGCCCACTTCACTGGTGTGGGCAGAATGACAAGACTCCTATCCCAGAGACAGAGGACTGTGGTACCACAGCACAGAAGCAGCAGTGGTTGCCGGTTTGCATTGGTTCTCCTAACCCCTGATTTCCGGGGGGGGGGGGACTGGCTGCTGGTTGCTACTTGGCTGTTAGCACAGATGAGAGAACCCTCTTGCTTAGGAACCTCCCACTGTTTTGTTTATTCACTACATTTGCTTATTTTCCTCCTAGTCAATTAAAGGAGTTGTTAGTAAACCCACCCAATCTTTGTTCCACGGAAAACATTATCATTCTGGTGAGGAAACAGCTCTGCTCTCTGCACCTCCCCAGGGAGAGACTACCTGTGCCTTCCAAAGCTATTTGCTGTACAAGCTGTCACAAGTTGTATGGAAAGTCCATGGAGAATTGTCTGACAAAAAAGAGGTGGAATGCAAGAAATAAATATACTATTAAAAATATTGGGCTTTTTAAACAAAGGTTTTCAAATATATAATTGATTTTTTTTTTTTTTTTTTTTTTAGAAAAGGGAATCTGTTTAAGCTGTAGTTCAGGGGCCTACCTGTAGTGGTAGCTCCAAGGCCCTAGTTTTGATTCCCAGCACCACTGAAGGAAAATTAATATGTCACTAAGTAATTGTGACATTTGTTGCACTGTGAAATACCAAAAAATAATAATTAAAAAATTTTAAAAAAACAACTGGGTGTGTTGGTATACACCTGAAATACTAGCTACTCGAGAGGCTGAGGCAAAAGGATCATAAGTTCAAAGCCAGCATCAGCAACTTAAGGAGAATTTATCTAAAATAAGATCTGGTGGTGTAGCATAGATGTACCATTATCTGTTTGATAATGGGTTCAGTCCCCATTATCAAACAGACAAAGTCATTGGATTCTAAATGAAATTTAACTTGTTTATGAAACCACCAATAACTAAAGGATTAAAAACTGTGCTATAGATACACAATGGAGTTCTACTCAGCCATGAAGAAGAATGAAATTGTAGCATTTTTCTGGTAAATGGATGGAACTTAAGAACATCCTGCTAAGTGAAATCAGCCAGATTCAGAAAGTCAAGGGTCGAATGTTGTCTATGGTAAGTGGGAGCTAGAACAAAATAAGGAAAAAGAAGTGTCTGGGAGTTCCATGCAAATAGAAGAGAGATCAGTGGAGTAGAGAACAGGGATTGGGGGGGAGGAGAGACAGAGAACGGGAGCCATGGTGGAATGAAACTGACCAAATCATCCTGTGTACATACCTGAATATACCACAGGAGAAGAAAGGGAAGGGAGAGGGGGAGGGAGGGAGAGGGGAGGGAAAGGGGAAGTACTGGGGACTGAATTGGAGCAAATTGTATTCCATACATGTATAGTTATGTCAAAATGAGCCCCAATATTATATGTAAATATAAACATCTTTTAAAAAAACAGAAAACTTTGTATCAAAGTGACTGAAAAAGTATTTACCAAGCAAATGCTAACGAAAATAAAGGTAGTGTAAGAAGTTCTAACTTTGGGCAAAAGGCAATAATAGAGATTAGTAAGTACATAAATACTGCTAGAAGGTAAAATCCACCAAAAAGACACAATAAACTTTTATATTCCTAACAATACGGCTTCAAAATAGGTGAAACAAAGCTGATAAAATTACTGGGAAAACTTATAAAGTTGACGAAAGTAGGAGATTTTATTATCTTTTATTAGAAACTGATAGGTCAAGAAGATCAAGCAAATAAATATCAGAAAGGATATAGAAGATCTGTGCCCTCCGTGTGGTTAGGGAAGGCTGAGTGAGCCGGATGACTGAAGTCACAGCCACACAGCCAGTGCTGTGCTGTGCTCCTGTTGACGTCCCCCAGGGCAAGAGGAACTGTGCAAGAGAACAGAGATCTAGAGGAGGAAAAAGAGGCAGTGCACACCCCACCCGCAAGGACGGTTACGTCCAGGAAAGATACCGAGTCAGTAAGAGGATGATAGGGAGAACTGTGCAAGAGGAGGATGGGGGCCATGTAGAGGGGCTGATGGGGTCTGGGAGGATCCGACATGAGGCTGGTGGCTAAAGGCCAGAAGTGGGGTAGGGAGGGCAGAAGAGGAACTGACAGGAAGTCACTTAGTGTATTCCAGAAACCTAGTCAGCCAGACTGGCCTGGGCCCGGAGAACCTTTGAAAGAGGTAGAAACTTTTAGGAATCAATTCCACAAACAATATGAAGCCACTGGGTGGTTTTTAACATGGCCAGTCTTTTAAATCT